GGGCAGCGGGGGGGGGGGGTTCAGTGTCTTACCCGAGGACACTTTGACACGTGGACTGGAGGCACCGAGATTCAAACCTTCAACTTTCTGGTTGGAAGACGACTGCTCTACCCACCACACCACTGTCACCTCCCCATCACCATCATCATCATCATTAAGAATTGTTTATTTTGATTTAAAATGGGACACACAATGTTTTTTTTTTTTGTTTGTTTGTTTTAACCTAACTTCGGCTGTGCTCCTTATTTAATCACAATTGAGGATATCACCTGCTGCATAGTGTCCCCACAGTTGTAAATACCATGCTGCCTGTGTGATATAAAATAAAGTTAATTGGACCAATATCAATTATAAAGCACCAGAAAAATGTTTAAGGCAACAATTTAACATTGTTTTTAATTAATTAATGCTGACAAGCATCACATTTTGAGTCTTGAGCCAACCAGATCCTCAGGGGGACCAGTGCCACCCCTGGCCCCCCTGAGGATCCTGCTTTTGATAAATGAATAAAGATGAGACAAGGTCCTGCAAAGAGGCAGCAGTAATATCCTGAGGAAACCAGAACACAGAGGGCATTAGTCATCCTCTGATGTCTGATAGCATGAAGCTCAGGCAAAAATATGTGTGAGAATGGCAGCCTGTCTTTTAGTGTTGGCCCTGTAATGACTGATGACCTGTGCATGGTGTTTCTAATATCTATTGTTGCCACCTTCCTGACACTGTGTGGGATGAAGAGATGGAAAATATGCTAAAATTTTAGCGACTGAACTGCTTTCCTGTGACCAGATGGAATGGATCATGAAGACTCATACCCCCTTCAGTCCTTCCGTCATCCTCCCTCACCTCCCCAGGCCCACTGGGATGACCTCTGTAGCTGTGGATCCTCACGCTCTGGGTCCAGCGAGGACCTGGCTAAGCCTCTTGCTCATGGTGCCAAAGTAGAGCTTTATCCTCCAGAGGATGGCAGACGGGACTTCACCCCCTCTGTGGTGCAGCTGCGACCCACCAGTGGCACCTCAGTAGGGAGGGAGGCAGGGCTGGACAGAGGCCAACAAGGTAGATGAGTACGAGTCTTAATTTAATTCTGTCCTGACAAAAACATGCAGGGTGTGTTTGCTCAAAAAGTTTTAAATGTGCAAATACAGACTGCTACTGTTGTGTTGTGAACATGCATTTAAATGTAAAAACATGATTTTAAAGGGGCTTTGTGAGTATCCTAAAGCCATACAAACATGTTGAATGCTTTCCTTGCACCAAAACAAACTCTCCAGCACCACCAGTGATCTAAAACTACAAGGTGCCATTAATATATTGTTTTTAAATGTTTGGACATCCTCACTACTTCAGTCAAATCAAATTGGTAAAAGTTTCAATCAATTTCTCTCGTCTTTATATTTTCCTCAGCTTCATCTCCGAATGTACCGGGAATGTACCGATACTGGCCAGACCAACAGACACAACAGGTTTCCAGTCATGCATGGCGATCTTCTTCTGTCCGCAGCTCCTACCACCCGCCACCATTCCCAGAAGAACGGCCCAGTGAGCTAGAGTCCCGACTTGAGGTTTTACATTCACAGCTCAACAGGTGAATTTACTGTTTTCTTTTTAACTATGTTGCTTTTATCCCCTTAATGTTCAGTCTGCCAATCCTCTTCTTACACATTGTCTGACAATATCACATATAAAGTATATTACAAATCAAATTCAGCCTAATACACAAATATTTGGTATCTTTGAAAACTTTAGGATCTTCACTAGAATTTAAAATTCTGTGAGTATGTATGGCTACATATCAGTAGTTTATTACATAAGATAAAGACTTCATCACATAGTGTGGCCAGTCACCCTGCACTATATGTATACTGTAACTTCTCTATCCTTCTCTCATTTATGAAATGGTGATCAAAACTTGCTGGATGGACTGCTGGATATAGTGGTACTTCACTTACTAGCTAATGTGTATAAAAATTATTCTGCCATTCTTGTCTTTTAAATCCCAGACTAGAGACTCGTATGACAGCTGACATCAACGTTATTCTCCAGCTTCTTCAGAGGCAGATTGCTCCTGTACCTCCAGCGTACAGCACAGTGTCCTCTAGTACCCTCCCCACTGACTCACCTAGCCTGTATGGGACTGGAACCCCAGTGTTGCACAGCATGTATCCCATTTCCCCCATCCAGATGGACAGCCACTCACCTACACAGGTATGGAATCGTACCAAATAATAGAGTTAAGTACTGTTAGCTCTGTATTAAGAAAGAGAAATTAAAAATAGAGATTTCTTTGCTCTAGAACTCAATCCAGACCAACCTTAAATTCACTACGAAGTCCCAGGAGTCTCTGTCTAGTGGAATCCATGTGACTGTGGCATCAGACGACACCATGTTCATGACCATCACCCCTGAAACTGAGACCCATAGAGGCCTGACTCAGCAGCTGACCCAGGCATCAGTCAAACCCTCGCTCATGAAGAACCCCAGGTTGTGCAGGAGTCTCCACTGTCCCTCACTGCCAGGGAACCTGGACATCAACTCAGGACTGGCTGAGATCCAGAAACACCTCTCAGACCCTGTGCTGCCTGTCATCTGAAGCCTTTCAGTAATAGAGTTTTCGTGGCAACCAGTGTGACTTTGAAAGTAGTAACACTGATATCTCGTGATTGCAGCAATAGTCCAGCACAGTCTGTACATCCAGACCAACTGTGTCGGCCATTTCCAGTCTTTATGCTAAGCTAAACGACTACCAGCTGGTGTGACACATTTTTCACAGTTAAAGGAATAATAATCATAATTTTGTCAGTGGACAAATTATGTAAAGGCAAGACATTTGTAGATTACTGAAAAAACATCTGGCATTTCTGTAGTACTACTACTGTAATACCTGATTAATTACTGATACATTTACGTTCAACAGTGCTACACCATGACTCTAAATTGAAACACCTGCAACAGGTAATCATTTGTGATCCAATGTCAGTTTAACTACATTCTCCGTATTACAGAGATCTCATCTGAGATCAGGCAGTGTTTTCTCAGTATTTTACAGTTACTGCAGTACACTTTTTTGACCTAGCACTTCTAACTGTAAATCTGAAATCTGTACCATAGATTTGTATCAGTTTGTTAATGAGTCAATTCACTGTGAAATTATTTAAACTGGCATCTGAACATAAATCTTCTGTAAGCAACTGTTTAATGTTGCTATCAATAAAATTACTGGTGCAAAAATAAGAAATGTATATTATAGTCGATGTGTCACAACAGATGTTTTTCATAACACAGATGTATTCAGTTGAATAAAATATAAGTTAAAAAGAAGTGAATACACAAAAACATTTAAATCCACTTAAATATGGTTAAACTGCTATTTGTTGCTTAAAAGGTGACCAGGAAGAATGTATTTGCTTAAACTGTAAAAAAAAAAAAAAAAAGCATGTAGCATATTAAAACATATCTGACTTGGCTGTTTTTCAATTAGATAGCATCCTGAAAGCTCGAAGGCTACTGAACCCTGGTTCCTGTCTGTACAGGACAACAGTCTTTTGGTTACTTGAGACGTGGTTTCGTTTTTGTTTCAGTGCTCTTGCAGGTTTTCTGATATAGCACGTCTTGGTACCGTGTCACAAACTCAAGCAGTAACATACTTTCTTACACACATCACCTGTGTCAACGTGAAGCCAATACAACCATGAACTAAATGTTGCTCTGTCCTTCAACAAAGTCACATCACCTTGTGAATCCCACTGAAAATGTTCTTGAGTTATTCTGTGGCTCGTTTCTTCATGTCTGCAGCTCAGACTCTGAGGATTTCCAGACAGTTGTAGCAAATAGCGATCTAGTCAGGCTGGGTGGAGGCCCACTGGACATTATTGATCTCTCCCTCAGCTGTGTAGGCCAGTATAGGGTCCTCAATGGCCCGCGGCATTTGTTGGATGTCCCAGATTAGAGCCTGGTGGTCGTCCACTAGACACAGAGGAGGGGCAGAAGTTTGATTTGAATCACTTTCTAATTTAAACAGGAAGAAACTAATGTTACTAAATACCACACATCCTGGGCCTTTTTCTGGTGGATAACTAGTTTTCACCTGTTTTTCCTATTGAGCAGGACATAACATTAAAGTAAGATCAGGGGAAACAAAAAAATAAGAGACAAAGTGGTGCAGACATCACATTCCTGCAAGTCTGGCTTCTGCTTGTTCAACAGCTGTTTGATAAACTGCTCATACGCTCTCTATTACTGACTGACTGTTGCACTATGGAGTGATCCTTCACATGGTCTGTCCTCCCTCTGCTATTTGCATAACAAGAATGCAGTCCCTCCTCTGAATAGATACAGATAGTGGAAAAACAAAGCAGGACGGTCCACTTCAACCTGGGAGTTTATGCAGAGCAAAGTATGATTTGTACCAGCCATTAGGTTTTGATAGTGAAAACAACTTTTAGTGCTTTGCAGGAAACCCTGAACTTGATCATTCACTTAAAATAAATGATCTTCAAATAACATCTAAAGCCATACGTGTAGGATTTGAACAATTCTGACTGAAACATCTCTGAGACACCAACACACATCCAATCCCTCTCTAAAGGTGTTTCTCCACCTTTCACAATGATAAACATGACTTCCCTGGCACAATGCTCACATGTAGCATAAGAAGGACTCCCTCTGGTGCTCCCTGTTAGTTTCTGCAATAATGCAAAACCCTAAATCGACATGGTCTCCTCTCAATTTACAACAGCTCCAGTTACATTTATAGGCACTGTCCTCTACCTCCAGACTGCAAAAAAACTTATGAGTGTTGTTGACTGTTAGAGTGTGTCCACTAAAACCAGCATACCTGCTGTACAGATGTGGCAGGAGGAGTGCGGACGCCCAGGCAATTCCATTTACACAAGCCCTGTGGTTGTTGAGCCTGGCCACTGGAGTGCAGGGCACACGCACATCTGAGATCACCACCTGGGGATACAAAAAAGAATTGTTCAGACACCTACAGGCAGCAAATCAAAGAAGACAGACTGGCTCAGCATGAAGACAAACTGGTAAAAAATGTAGTCAAACATTTACAGAAGTCCATTTAAAAAAGAAACACTTTTACAATTCTCAGCCAATTTTTAGTTTTATGACGGCCTGTAAGCATTATACACATGGTTTCCAATGACTTAACAATATCTTATGTTTTCCACTTTGCACAGAAAAGCACAAAAACAGACTCAAACGGATACATTTCCAGGGCACAGTGTTCCAGGATCGTTCCACAGAAGGAGCAGTACTAACCTCCATGCTGTCCATTGCCATGGTAGCAAGGTAGTTGGGGTCCTGCTTGTTCCAGCAGAGTCGGAGCAAAGGGTGGTGCTGTGCCCAAGGTGACAGAGGTCAAACATGCGGACGGAGCCATCTGCTCCCACAGAGGCAAACATATCCCTGCCGCCGCCGGCTCTGCTGAAAGAGATGTCATACACCTGCAATGCAGACACACCAGCAACTTCTTCTGGTCAGCAGGGACTATAGAGCAGTAAAGCATTTGATAAGGAAGATATGTATGTCTGAGTATCATTTTATTACACACAGATGTTCAATAAAGTTATTATACAAAGGTCTGATCCATTATGTAAAAACAGTTACCTCTTTGTCATGGGCAATGAGCTGTGTCTTGACATGACCCGACACTAAGTTGACCCTCCCCAGCACCTGTCCAGTCTCCAGCCCCCAGATCGTACAGGTGGTGTCGATACTGGAAATACATGCACAGAAACAATGTCATCTCTTAGTCCATGACAATTTACATTTGCAAATAATGATTTTACATCAGTGAAGATCATCATTTTTCTAGCTTTCTATGTGAGAGCTGTCAATACAGACTCCAAGTTAAAAACCAAGGTAACAACCCTGCACTGAGTTTTTACCTAACAAGTTTGGGTCCACCTCTTTCCAGTCAAAGGATGTGAGAGGTGCACAGAAGTCTGAGTTCTTGTTATTGTTGAGCAGACACTCCAGACATGTCTCTGTATCACTCACCTGTCAGCAGAAACACATTTTATTGTCAGTACTCCTATAGAGCACATGCACCACATTACAAGGTGAATCCCAATTCCCTTTATTTATCGTTCCTCAAGCCTTGCTCAACCTGGAAGTCATTCCAGTCCAAGATGAAGGATGTCCCAAAGCTCTTATTTCTGCTCCAAGGGCCAAGGAGTGAAGAGGCTGCATGAGGAAGTTACAGTATAGCTAAGTACAACAGAAGACTGTTACGGACTGACACGCCCCTTTATTAGAAATCAGTTTATGATTGGACTCTTCATATTAAGGATCAAAACAAAAAGACATCTCATGTCAGTTAAAACATAAATGTCAGTTGCTCTCTCCTCACAGTTTCTCCTGGCATCTTATGTGGGCAGGACTAAAATGCAAGGAAAAGATGCAAGTGAAGTAAAGGTGGATGCAATTAGGGGAACTGGGATTCACCTACTGTTTTGAATATGTATGGATATGCTCAACAATTTCACATTTAAAGAGATGGGAATACTGGTGGTTGGTTGAATTTCTTTCAATCACTGGCTTTTATTGTAGTTGTCAGAAGTGGTCAATAATGATGACCTCATAGTTTAAAAGAGACTAAACCTAAATCAAACTGTCAAAATTAACACTGCTCCACACAGTAATGTTCACATTTGATCTTTTTTCCCTTCCATTTGATCAATGCTGTGGGTTCATACATATATGAGCCATAGTTACGGAGCACTGTGCCTGAGCTGGACACTGACACTGTGTGTTTCATCCTGATCTCCGAGTGTGAACAGACAACAATTAATACAAACAGGGGGCCACTGGTTCAGGTCCTCTTACCCTCCAGATCCTCAGATAGTCTCCACTGGTGGCCAGGAGGTCAGGGTAGGCTCCTTTGGTGTCAGGGATCAACATGATCTTGGTGGTGGGGTAGGGATGGTCAAAAGTGTTTCGACACACAAACTCGGAGCTCTCCTCCTCCAGACCAACAATCTGAACCTGAGGAGACATAAGAACAACTCACCTTGAGTGAGCCAGTGTTGTGTTACTTATCTGTACAGTACAGGCATGTGACAATGATTCTAGGCCTGTCCAGTCTGAGATACTGTACATTCAATTTTCCTCATATTCAACCTGATTATTTTGGTTGTCATTAAAATTTGTACCTGATAGTAATTTAGCTGATATTTACAGCTGTGCTAATCATATCTCTACAGATTGCTGATAAAAGCAATAACATGAGGGTTGAGTAACTCTGGCTGGGAATTTGTCAGACCTTTCCCCCCCTAAATCTACAGATTAATTGATGATGGATACAATTCTTGTCTAAAAATTATCAGAATTGATTTATATAAACTACAAAGTTTTCAAGTGTCTGACTTAACTTTGCCAAAGGACGTTATTTAAATTGTATTTGCTTTCCTGTTGTTGTACTGTAAGTTTCAAAGTAAGACATGCTGTTCCCTACAATCATCACAAAATGTTTCATAAATGCACAAAAGAGCTGCGATCCATTGGAGAAAATTATTCAACTATTACTTTGGTATATTTCTCATTATTTTAATACACTTCATGCAAAAAAATCCAAACATTTTCTGGCTTCTCAAATGTGACTGATGCCTTTCTTTGTCATACCTGATTGTAAAGATGAAGCGATTAATCGGGAAAGTATTCAATAGTGAAAATAATCATTAGTAGCAGCCCTAATGTAATTCACAAACAGGTATAAGAAAGATAATGTCTCTAGGCAACTGTTATGCCACTGACCTGGTGCCAAGTCAGAAGAGATCAACTGAGAGTGCAGTCTAAAGACATAAAACCACTGTGGATATTTATCACGTCTCTCACTGCAGCACTTTGCAAACATGGCTCTGCTGTTTTTCATAAATATGTGATTTGCAAAACTGCCATTGACAGCACTTTGTGAATTTGATGGATGTCATAGCACAAACATGTAGAGCAACTCCCACAGATCTCTGACACTTTGATCAAGACAAGGTCGACAAGACACAGTAGAACTGCAGCGCAAACACCCCCACAAAACCTCACAAAAGGTACAGTATGTGTATTTATTAACTAAAATATAAACTGGTGACTAATGTGCAGTAAATTCACTGAGCAAGCAAAAATCTATTTTTTTTTTACATTTTTATGTTATAACAAGTAGCATTACTGCTTGCAACATGTTGTTCGATATGTGTGTTCGTGAATTTATTTTTCAAATATCTGTGCCTCTCAGGTTTTATAGCCACTGCTCTGCTCGACAATGTTACTTGAGATATGTTCTCGTTCTGAGCCCCTGTCTAACAGCTCTGACACATCTGAAGAAAACTTGGACAATTTTGAGTTTCACATTTGTGAAGGCCTTCAGGAGGGCAGCTATATTTGGGCTGCTTGCACAGTGCTGTGCTTTGCTCTTGGTTTTCCTGCATGTGTTGCCACCCTCTTGGAGGTGTTTAAGATATACAGGAGAAGAAATCCCATCACACCTAATGATTTTTTCATACTGAACCTCTCCATCATGGATGTTATCTTCTTGGCCTTCATCCCACCTGGATTGTTAAATCATTTCTTCAGCAAGAATTTGGCATTTGAGTTATTTTGGAACACCATTTATGCATTGAACACATGTGGAAGACCCCTCCTGATGGCTTGTGTCTGTCTGGACTGTTACCTGGCTGTGGTTCATCCAGTTACCTACCGTAACACAAAGAGTCTGACACCCAGGGTGGTGATGGCCAGCATAGTTTGGACTTTGACAGTTGCTACTGGGATTGGATACAGTCTTTGTTACAAGTTATACTACAGCATGTTTTCCACTGTGCCATTTGTATTATCTATGGTAATAATTGGGATCTGTGATTCTTTCATCCTCTGTAAATTAATTAAGTCTAATCCTAGCAGAAAAAGCATCCACCCACAGAAGCAACGAGCCCTTCAGACACTCATCAACAGCCTGATCGTAGTAGTCGTCTGCTACTTTCCTCCAGTGCTTCTGTTTGCAATTGCAACGCCCCTGATTAGCAGTCTAAAAATGTTTATATGTACTGTTGGTACTCCGATTACTCTTAGTTCTACTTTGGGATCTGCTGTCATGCCTTTACTCTACCTAAATAATCTTGGGAAACTGGGTCGTTTCAGGGTTGGATGCTGCAGGAAGTCTTAATCTGCTTCTTCCTCTTACCAAATCAGGTTCTGTTGAAGCTGAAACTAAGCTTTTAACTTTCCAAAACCTTTAGAAGTTGAGCTTCTTTTAGAAAGTTAAAATGACCCCAAATCCAACTTCTAAAACTAGCCCTATCCCTGGCTTATGTTATTATATGCATATTTAGATTGTGAAAATTGTCAAGCCTCTGTCCCATTGTGACATGTTTTTCCTTGACATGTCATTTAATGGTATGTAGTTCCTGTTTGCTGTTGTTCATTTACTCATATATGTTGTGTGGCATAGGTTTGTCTCACCTTAATAAAAAGTCAAGTTAAAATCACATATTGTATGAAGGTGTGGAAAATCAATAAATACCTAGCTAGTTAATCTGTATTCTTAAGACTCTGCATATGGTTTGGGCCCCGTGTACGTAACTGAATATTAATGAGGATATTAGGAATTAATTGTGTTACAAAGTAACATTTTTAATAAAGTTATTGGACTCAGTTGTTTTGCTCATGATCACTGAAGGCAAACTACATTTCCCCCACAGTGCAAACAGGTGAACAGTGACAATCCAGATAAAGTGGTTCAGGGTGGTCACAGAGATATTTCATCTCCCAGCATGCCTGCAAGATTAGATAACTGGAGGAAAACAAACTCGGGACTGCTTTATATACAGGATGAATAGCAGGAAAACTTCTCAATACAGTACCGAGTCATGAACAGTATGGCAATTTTTAGTTCCCTCATGAGCAGTCTTCACTGCCACAGGATTCTTATTGGCTTTTGGATACAGATAAACCATCAGAGCAAAATGAACTATTGGCACTGCAGTCTAGACAGTGCGCTTCTGTATATAACTTTCAATTAAAAACAACAATAAAACAGACAATCTGACAAATCTAATAGAGATCCAGTACACAAGCAAGATAAAAATGTTTGAAAAATCTGTTTAGAAGCTCATCTACTGGATTACTTTGCTAAATTGAAAGCTCTTTTCCATGACATGAGGTTCTGCCTCATGTACAATGCTCATGTTACAAATGTAAATGATGAAGGCAGGCAAATCATCTTTCATAACAGCTGTGCTCACGCAAATGTGCAAATATATACAAACATCATTTACATACTGCGGTGCTAAAGATTTATGTAGAAAAGTGTGCAACTGTCTGATGGGTCTTTTTCAACATATTACTAGTAATTCTAAGACTATATGACAAAAGAATTTGTGTACTTCAGAAAACCCCATATTGAAAAAAACTGGGTTTGTTTTCTGTAGGATATATTCAGTATGTGATATATACTTGTGTGTAGCTTTTAACAACACATCTTTGTCATTAATACTCTATGTAACACCAGAAGCACATCTGGCACTAGATAACACATGTGAAGTTTGCTGAAATTGAAGGTTAGGTTCTGAGAGAGGATGCATGTAGAGAAGCATTTCTTACCAGCAACACTGATGCCTTGATGAGTCCAAGCCTAGTGGTAGAAAACACAAAGACAGGGAACTGCCCACAGAACAATCCATATCTTTCACTCCCTAAAGATCAGGGCATGTTGATAGTTTTATATGCTTTTAATTACACACAATATTTGCAAAAAACTCCATATAAAAGTGACAATTTCTTCATAAAATATTTTATATATTTAGTCCCTCCACACACACACACATAGCAGAGCAACTGGTCACAATGTATTCAATCAAATCATCAAATAAAATGATTTTTATTTATGTATACTACACATTTACATTATGGGAATTACTAACCAATCAGGTAGGAACGGATGCATTATAAAACTCCCCATAAGATGGTTATTATTCATATCCTGTCACAAAGGTGAAAGGTAAAAAATATTCACAAAAAAATACAAAAGATACCTTAAAAAAAGTTATTTAAATGATGCTTTATAAAACCTTCAGCACACTCCTGTTAGCCAACAGCTTCCTTCCTCTTTAGATCACTCCTCATTGGAAACATGTAGAGCTTTGTGCTTCGAACTCACACACTTCTGTAAATGTTTAACACACTTCAACCACAGGCTGCATTTTGATTTGGTTTCCTCTGCTCAGTAGCACAATTTAAAACAGCCAAACAACCGTTTAAAAACCTGTTTTAGCTGGTACTAATTAAAAATTCAGCATTGTGCCAATAAACACAAGATTGAAAATCTCACCATAAACCACTGGGCCACTTGTCAGACTCTGGACTGGATTTAGTATAATTAAATGGTTTTAATGTCAAAATAATTGTGTCAAAACAAAACCAGTTATAAAGAGAGAAAAAAAACCCATACATCTGGTTTTGAGGATAACCATTAGATTGCCTCCTTGCCTGTGAAACGGTTGATAGTGCATAGGCTACATGTGACATCTAAAATGAACAGTGAACATCATACAAAAATAACAGTGTAAACACCATATATTATTTATGATTGTGTATGAAAATGTATGCCATGGTCTCATAATAACCAGGAAAAATGTTACATTCTTACAGGAAGAGGGAACATCTGGGAGCTGTGCTATGACATTTGTTATCAGGGGAAAACCTTGTTTCTCCAGCAGAGGTGATTTTTCATCGATTTTTATACAACGACCAACAGCGCCCTCAAGTGCTTATAATTCATTACACCTTACCAGTGGTGCCTCAGAACTTAACCTCTGGAAATTTTTTAAATTTTAATGCTGCTGTTAGGCAATATAAAAAATTAAGGGGTGCAGCTATAAATTTCAGGCTGAGACTTCAAACTACTGTAGAACTGATGCGGAATTACATTTTAGTCGATGCAAGTCTGCCTTCTCCTGAAAAGTTGTAGAGCTAGGAGGTTTTCACCTGACAACAATACATATAAAACATTCTTTATCGTTATCATATACTCTATAAACATGTACAACTGTCATATTAAACATGAATCAAAAATAATTACACTCTAAGCAACAGTAGTATATGGTAGTCAAAGGTATGATAGAATCTTGACATGTTTTTACAAAAATGTGTTTTTAAAATTAAAAAAAATCTTATTCTGGAACAAACCTTCCAAATCCGTACATGATCAAGATAAAAGATCTGACTTTTTGAGTAAAACCATGTAGGAGGGGGTGGGGGTATTCTCCCACTGATACTGGGCACACTTCATTAATTGTATGGATCTCTGAGAAGTTACACATCTCAGAGAGGTTCTCCTTTAGTAATAGCTGGATGCAGCTACACAGTATGCTGCAGTTCATTTAGATTGCAACAGGAAAGGGGAAAATCAGCAAATGTCCTTTTTCAAGACCTGATCCAGATTACGAGCCCCAAACACTGAGCCACATTCTGCTGCCGAGTCCCAGATCCTCTGCAGAAGAAAACTTCTCTCTCTTCAAAGCTGAGGAGAACATCAATCGTTGGGACCTGCAAGTTGCATTTGCTTTCCAACAAGGGGGTGGGGGTCAGACAATGGCACCATTGACTCAGTTTTGACCTCCCCCAGCCCAGCACCATTTAACAGTGACACACACAAAAAAAACCACAGTCTTTAAAAAATGTTGATTATTAACTGGGAAGGCTTTGTGTTCTCACTGAGGAGGAATTTGGGCCATGCATTGATTATCCAAACTGAGCAGAGCAACATTCATCTCTTCAGTCACATTCAGCATCAGTGTCCACTGCATTGCTCACTTTTACACAGAACTGTTTTATGTTGAACACAAGCACAGGAATATATACACATACAAGGTCTTCACTTATTGTGCAACATATTTAGCTGTAGCTTGTAATGCTTCCTTGCACAATGAAAGGCTACCAAAACCAAAAAGCTCACCGTGATAGCACAGGCTTGGAGGAGATAGTGCATTTTGCATCAATAAAGGCATACTTTTAAGATTTTGTGAAGCTTAAAAAGTCTGCTTATAACTCATATATAATCTGTTGTATCACAGAGTAGTTGCAGCCACAGACACTAACCACCACAAACATCAGTGCAGCACAATGCCTCTGTCTTCTCCATACAGGATGCCTTTCTTTCAAGGAGCATGTCTACTGGCCAGACATGCGGCAGGGCTTTCTCTGGCCAAAACAAAATGGCTTTGATTGTACTGAAGACCCCATCAGGTCCAGGAGAAACTGACCAGAATACTAAACATCATCTTCAATGAACACAATGGCTCACTTTGTCAAAGGGTTCTATACGTTTTTCTCTGTTTAGCTGGGATGAGTAGCACGAAGGAAGTGAAGGAAATGCTTCACATGTAAAAACAACCACAGACCTTAAACAGGTCAAGAGAAAATCAACACTTAAAAAAAAAAAAAAAATCAAGATTCATTAATCCAGTCCAATGGTAGATTCTGTGATAGACCATCGTTGTACCATGATGGGTTTCCACAAATGTAAACTCCTTTTCTTATCAAGTACCGAGTTATATACAGTGTCTGCACCAGGCACAGAGAGTTTGTCATTCCATTATATGTTTCCATATAAGGACAAAGTGATTCTGTTTAAACTTCTTTTATGTCTCTTAACTGTCACAGATTGCTGAAAAGAAGACAGGAATACAAATGATGTCGTGAACATCAGATTAGTGCTACACTGTGTTGAGTCATGGTGTATCACAACTGGGTGACTCGATGTCTGGAAAAATGTCACCATCAGCTGCTTTGGATTCATGTCCTTCACTCTTTATAAAGAGATATTCCATGTGCACATTCTCCTCCCAATATCAAACACACACCTACCTCGTTTCTGTCACATAAATATTCTTTCGTTTCTCTCAGTAGAACACAATCTGTGACTCCTTCCGAGTTCATCCCACTATTCTCGGTCCACTCCATGTGTCTGCTAATCCCAGATACTCTGGATTCTCTGCTGTGGAGGTCACAAACCCGTTTACACGCCTGGGTACACCGTCTCTCTCCAGTGCCCCCGGGCTGTCCACAGCCCCAGCTACAGCTTTGGGCACAAGGTCCAGGTAGTATGGGTTGTCAAAGGCTGGTGAGGTGGATGTTGCCGAGCTCACGGGGACTAAGTATCCTGGGTTCTCCACACTGCGACCGGAGCTCAGGCCATTAGGGAGGCGTCTGTCCAGTCTGGAGCCTTTACGAGGGAGTGTGGTGGGTCGCTCGGGAATCCCAGGCTTGAGATTTTGAATCTCCTGGTTAACATATTCTGAATAAGTGGAGGAAGGAAGAAAAATCAGACCAAAGGTTTCTGAGATGCAAATTTATCTTATACACTCCATTAATTTCTGTAGAGCCAACAATGGAAAAAAAAAAGACCTGCTCACCTGGCAAGGCATGAATGTGATTATAACCATGACCTCGCCTGGGCAGTGAGTGATGAAGGTGGGGAGGAGGAGGAGGATGAAAACCAATTGGCCCATCAGTCTCCAGGGTGTCCTGACTCCCATTGGGGTAGGTGGGGTCTTTGCAGTAACGTCCAGGACTGGCCGGGGGCACTGAGGGGTCATCTGAAGCCCCATCCAGGAAGATGGAGTCAGACTGGGCCCCTGTCGAGATGCTGCGAACCAGCATCGGGTACTGAGGAGTCCACAAGCCATTCGAGGTGCTGGCCTCTAGTGGTAGGGTAGGGTACTGGCCGCGTCCGAGAGTGTTCTGTGAGGAGTACATGCTCCGAGGGCCACCAGCAATGGAGGGCTCAACATCTAAGCCCTGGTCTCTGCTCTGCTGCAGAAAAACAGACAAGGTAAATCCAGCCACTCATACGTTCCCAGGTGCTACATGTCCTAAGAGCTAAGTACAAATCCGATCATTTTTAATAAAACCTGAACAGTCAAAAGGTTCTTGCAAATCAGATTACAGCTGGTTTAAAATCCATAGCAAATGTACTTTTCAGAGATTTCTCACTTAATTTAAAATCATACTTGAAAAACAAACTGGTTTACCAGTTGTCTGAAGGCAGCCTATAAGTTTTGTCTGATAGGCCACAGGGATATTGCTTGGCTCAGTACCTTAATTACCTCTTTATAGAGAGGTGGTAAAAGCCCAGAGCACAGAAAAGATCACCCTCCCACTGACCCTGTATGATTGGTGTCTGGATGGCCCGTTGGCTTGAGCCCCTTCTGCCTGTGTCCTGGGGAAGAGGTTTGGCTGAGGCACCAGATACTCCTCAGCATCCAGAAGTTCCCTCATATTGTTCCCCTCCTCCTCCAAAAGCATCCGGAAAAACTGACTTTCTACTGGGCTGGACATGCTCATCTGCTCATCATTCTGCAAGACACAGACAACAACACAAATGGGAAAAATATCTGTATAAACAAACACTGAACATTCAGAAGATACAGTATACTTGTCATTGGTATTATATTATATAAAAAGTGAAACATTTATAACATGAAGCACAAGGTCACATACCTGAATGACAACATAGCGAGGTGGGTCTCTGGCCATGGCAGTAAAATCAATGACCAGATCTTTGAACCTCGGTCTGCTGTCTGGATCAATCATCCAACCTGCCATCCAAACACAAAATTCAGATGTATTGGTCATCTTCAATGTAAACTACTATTCTTCTAACCTGTTTATTAAGGGACAAATAAGAATGAAATACATATGACCATGACTTCTTGATTGGACTTTTTGAATTTATTTTCCAAATCTTTTAGCCCCAAATGTTCAAGAACATTAACTCTGCTTTGATCAAACAGGAAACGGAACACAATGTACGTGGGCAGTTTGCATATTTACCAACACAATAATTTAGTGAATTACTTAGACCTCGAGAGATAGACAAAATACAAAACCAATGCTGCAGTAAAAACTACTACTGACATTTGACCATGATCATGTAAACGTCAATGGTGCAGATGAGAGGCTGGGGAAGCCGCTCTCCACCCTCCAAAACCTCTGGGATGTCCCTCGCTGGGATCATGTCGTAGGGTTTAGCACCAAACGTCATGAGCTCCCACACCGTCACCCCTGAGAAGGAAATGCATGGTTAAAACAGCATAAGCTTTAATCCAAGATAAGCTATCCACCAAAATGGTACTGCTAAACACAGGAAAAATGTGTTATTGGCTGGAATTATGGATAGAACTTTACTGCCACTTTTCTGAAGTGTTTCCATCAATACTATTTAAATTGTATCACTAAAATTACTAATGAAAGATAATTCATTAAACCCTACTTTAATAAAAACACATTGCAATGTCATGCTACTTCATCATGGCTGTTTTAATATTATATTTTTAAAGCCATATTCATCACCAAGCAATACTGACCATAGCTCCAGACATCACTCTGATGAGTGAACTTCCTGTGCAGGATCGACTCCAGGGCCATCCATTTTATTGGGACCTAAAAAACGCAGATACACCAAAGAAAAGGGAAAAAAATGTATAACTGTGATCGTTTCCGGTTTAGATGTTCCTACAGTCACGGCTCTGTCTTACCTTCCCTCCGTCGGCGTGATACTCAGTCTCATCAATGTCGAGCAGGCGTGCCAGGCCGAAGTCAGTGATCTTCACATGGTTTGGGTTCTTCACCAGAACGTTGCGGGCAGCTAAATCTCTGTGGACCAGCCGGACCTCCTCTAGATAACTCATCCCCTACACCAACACACGTACACACAAGTCCAACAAACTGATACCACATCAAATTTAAAAGAAAAATAAGATGACAGAAATCAACATCAAGACACATCTGTTATGATAAGAAGAAACACACTTTTACTCCCCTACTACAAGCAGTAGTACAAGTCTGTGCACCCAAGCCAACGCCTTCTTATGTACCTTTGCAATCTGGACACACCAGTTAAGGAGGCACTGGGAGCCAATGTGGTCCTTGTTCTCCCTCACATAGTCGAGTAGACAGCCGTACGGCATCAGCTGAGTGACCAGCTGCACTGCGGAGGTCAGACAAATCCCCAAGAGACGACACACGTACGGGCTGGCAACCCCTGCCATCACATAAGCCTCCTGAGGAAGACAGAAGAAGGGTTATTGAAGGAAGGAGTGCAGACTTTGTGTGGCGTGTGTGTGTGTGTGTATTAGGCTTGTACTCACATCAAGGATCTCTTTATTGGCCTTTGGTGAGGTGTTCTCTCGTAACACCTTAATGGCCACTGGTATTTTCACATGTTCTCCTTCAGGAGCCCACATTCCCTGAAAAAGTTATAAAAATCAAAGATAACAAGAAATACTGTCTTTGTGCAATTTTATAATAAGTAGCTTTGGTGATTATGGTACAGAACATACCTTGTAAACAGTACCAAAGGCCCCTGCACCCAACACCCGGAGTTTTTTCAACTCGGTCTCCTTCAGGATACGCATCTGAGCCTGATTGGGTGATGCACCACTGGGAGTTAGAGGCTCTACCAGCTGCACATGTGAAGGAAGCAGTAGGCAGGATTACTTCATCACAGTACCCAACTTAAGAACCAACTATAGCACCTATTCCAGTAAGAAAAACACATCAGAGATGCATCACAGTGTACCCCTCCCCCACCTCATGTTCTTGCAGGATCCTCCCCATTGTTTCCTTTATCTTCAGCCTCTTCTGCCTCCTCAGGTAGAACACCAGCAGGGCCAGCAGGATGAAGAAAAGTATCACCAGCAGTTCAGCATGACTCCTATTCCTCAACAATAGCTGGTTAAATCTGTATTAAGTTACATTTCTTTCAGAAAAGCTGAACTAAGTGGAAATTGTAAAAACAATATTGTAAAGAAAATAACTTAACATAAAGCGATGTCACTCACCCAGTCTTGGTATCAATGGGGCATCCTCTCTCATCCATCACAGTGCAGCTGGAACAGAGAAACATTGGGTGTGAAATCGTTCTTACTGTGTGTGCAGCGCGCGTGCTTGTATTTCCGCGTCCACTTACGACAGTGTGCAGTTGGTGTTGCAGGACAGGCAGTGTCCTGTAGCGTTGCTGTACTTCCACACAGTTTGCTGATCCTCCTTCACACCACTGGGACAATGATCCACACAAAATCCGTTGTCCTGGAAGTTTCGACACTGTGTACAATGTTCTGCACCCTGAGGACACATGGTGAGCATTGTCCAAGTACAATTACTGTATATGTATACAGGTTGTAAACACATATCTACATGAGTATACTGGCATGGAGAACACAAATAGGACAACTTACTGTGCTTATACTCAAAGTATTGTTTATTACTTTTCTCTCACTTAACGAATCACTTTAGCACTTGGGTTTTGGCTGTAAACATTCATAAACATGTATGAGAATTAACAGTTATGGGCAATGTAATTATTTTGGTGAAACAGTAGTACTGGTTTAACTTAAACAGGTGATGTGCAGGCTACCTCATACTATGTGAACAAGTGTGAAGGGCCAGCTTCACAAATGCACCTGATAGATGAAGGGTTTTCAGATCTTATTCAGGTAGGAAACACACCAAAACAGTCCCCCTCAGCACTGTACACTCAGAAACACTGTGATGTATCTTACCGGGCCGTGACAGGAGGCGGAGCCGTTAAGAGGTCGACACTCTGCATGACAGGCGACACACAAAAATCCATCTGTGTGTTCACGTGTAGACCTGCAATGCAATCAGAGTGGGGATGTAACATAACATCCCATAAAACAGTCTGGCATTTGTTGGAGGCTTTTATCTGAAGCACCTGACACTGTTATAAAGACGTACATTTTTAGAAACAGGGGCCCCAGCTGCAAATAACCATCAACGTTAGCCTTATCAGACAAGCTGCAAAGGGTATCCTGGTCTCTGAACTACATAAGGCTGGTCAACCATGTATATTATTGCCTATTAACTTTTAAATGCAATGGCAATGGTGATCATATCATGATATTCTTGTGTTAAAGAAATAGTTTGACAGTTTGGGAAATATTCGCTTTCTTGCTAAGTTAAGTGAGAAGGTTGATACCAGTCTCTGTTGAGAGTGGTGACATCAATGTGAACCATGCCCGACCCTAAACACTGATAAACAAGATTCTTATTTCTTCTTGAAAGTTCAATGATTCAAACAAGAAGATTTAAAACACATATGAAATATTTAGTCATGCTTACGCTTTTGTGTAGGACATTGAGCTTTTTGTGTCAGGAACTGTGTAAAACCAGGAACATAAATATTGATTTATTTTACAAATGTGTCACTTGGATACAAGTTTATCAAAATAAGCCATGTTCAAAAAACACGTCGAGTCCCTTCTTTGTTAGTGATCTACATTAGCTTAAGGGTACAGTTATGTTAAAAGCTTTCCAATTGATTTATTGTGACTATTTCAGCATTGACTGAAAATTCAGCCAATCCCATATACAGTGTTCACGTTTAACTTTAGGTGAATACATGTTAAGCTTTACTTTATTTACTGGAGAACTTGTTTGGGGATTACGACACTGTATTATTTGGAGCATTATCAATTGGCTTTTTATTGATTTAGTGCAGCCGCTCCCACACAAACACACACAGACTTTCTTACCCCTGATAGATGTTACACTGCTCTACACACTCGGTACCGCGTTGGAAAGCTGTGCAGGACACACACTGGCTGGGCCCCGGACCCCAACAGCCCTCTTTGCAAAGTGGGTGACAGATCTGCCCCTCTGCCTCTGAAAACAGAGACAGCAGAGCCATGACACACCCTGTATTTTTATGACTCAAAGCTAAAAACCCGCACTTACAAGCCAGTTCTCTGTGCAAGTGAAAATTGTGAATTTAAGAACTGTCTCAAGGAGAAATGGTTAAAGACCACAAGAAATCCTCGAAAAGAACCATGCAGACAGGCAGTCTCCTTTTTGATAAATTATAAAGATTTAACAAGCATTTACATAAAATAAAACGCACAGAACAGCATTGTCTGCATTACCCAGATCTGCATTATGTGTGTGTTGGCCTACCACAGACTTTGGGGTCCTGGTTGTGGCTAACAATGCGTTGGGGACCCTCGGTGGGATGGAGGAGACTCCCCCAGGGCAGTGAAGTGGTGTAGCACAACTGGGAATTGTTGTGTAACAGGACCAAACCTCCACTGACGCTACGTAGCGAACGCAACCCAAGAGAGCGGATGTGTAGATTTTGGATGGCAAGTGAAAACACACCTCTAAAAGAGAAGAGATTAGTTACCAGAGGTTAATTACAGGGTCATTTTTCTTAAGTAAACAAAACAGAGATCAAATCAGACAGAGAAGGTCTAAGAATCCTTTATTTTCAAAACTGGTTAAAAGATAAGGATGAATATACAATACAAAATCTTGGGTAAGACTGCACTCAGCGTAGGTTTAACACTTTTTTTTTTTTTTTTTTTTTAAAAACTGGGGCCTTAAGGGGCACACTAGATCAAAACAGGCTGCTGAATTATAACCTGAGATCCTTCTACATATGAGCAAAGTGTGGAAAAAAGGTGCTAATGTGTTTCATTGCAAACAAGTAGAAGAAACTGAATCTGGGATGTAACTTTAAAAAAGCATTGTAAAACAAGGAGCAAAATGAAGCAAGCAAGAGTCAGGAATGAAAAATTTAAAAAGGAAAATGCTGTATACAAATGCAATTGAGTTAACAAACCTAATAGCAAGTTATGCACTTTAATGAAAGCAAAGAAACAACTTGCTCTAAAACGGTGTCAAATAAGCAGCTCGCAGATTTGTCACTATGACTTAGTCGGAGTGTGCTATAACTGTCCCTTCCTGTTATCCTGGCTGGTGTGTGTTGCAGGTTACAGCAGCAGTGCAGGTTAATAATTAGCCTTTACAACCCTGAGACTGAACAAACTGCCTCAGTGGAACCAGAGACATGGTCGGAAAAACAACAACAGCACACAAAGACACACAGACGTCATGTGGTGATACAGCAAAAGAAACATTTAGTCTACATTGATCTGAAATATGAGATAAGACTTGGTAATATGTTTAAAAGTTATTCATATCAATTTCATATCATACTTGACAAATCTTCTGCAGGTAGGCAAAATAACAATGGCACAACACAGATGACAATGCACACAAATAACAGTACAGAACAACAAGTCAGTGGTTTTAGTCTGAAGAATGATAATATTGGAAGGATTAGTATGCAGACAAGAGAAGGACAGGCGTGCACACTGACAGGAAAAAGGCTTACTTGTAGAGCATTCTGCCTCTGATCACCTTCAGGTTCTCAAACACACCCAGGTCAGTCCACTCTTCTGGCCACGCATCAATGTACAAATATCCTGCACAGCAAAATCGAACAAAGACAGTAACAACACTGTCAGAGGAGTTGCAGTTTCTTCTGTGCCGAGCTCTTCCATGGTGAAAATTTGACTGAATTAGAGAAATCACAACTGCTCTGACTCAAACACATAAAAAAAAAACCATCCATCCATCCATCCATTTTCTTCCGCTTATCCGGGGCCGGGTCGCGGGGGCAGCAGTCTAAGCAAAGATGCCCAGACCTCCCTCTCTCCAGACACTTCCTCCAGCTCCTCCGGGGGAATGCCGAGGCGTTCCCAGGCCAGCCGAGAGACATAGTCCCTCCAGCGTGTCCTGGGTCTTCCCCGGGGCCTCCTCCCGGTGGGACATGCCTGGAACACCTTCCTAGGAAGGCGCCCAGGAGGCATCCGAAAAAAAAACCCCTGGTTTTCTTTTCTTGATTAGAGCTAAAAAACACTCTCTGTGGTCGTCATCAGGGTTCAGTACCTGTTATCTCCTCCAGTTCCTTGAAGGTGCTCAGCTGTTCCAGAGTCAAGCCTGATGTGTTGGTCACAGGGTCCCTGACAACAGAAGGCTTCAGTTTAACATGCAGCAAGAGTCCATAGATGTGAGGGCTATGCTCTGACTTGATGCTTGCTTTTTTTTTTTTTATTTATTTACTTTGCCCTGACCAGCAAAGGAACTACATCTGTATGAACAATCTTGTGTCAGGAATACCCAGATATTTTCTACTGGGGTTAATTACAGGACCACAGTGTGTACGCCCAGGTTTCTTACATTCTTCTCGTACATCTTCTTAGTACATTTGAGTACAGTAAACTTTTGGCTTGGATGGCAACTTTCCTCTTGACTTGCACAAGGAGTCTCCATAAATATTTCTGAAAACTCAAATATTCAAAGTGCTAAATGGGAGCGGTGTGGCTCTGTGGTGGTAAATATTAAGTCTTTGTAAAGTATTTAATGAGCTAAAAAAAAATTCTATATTTGACCTGTCCATCTCTTACCTTGCAAAACTCTGAGGGAGGAAGGCCAGACTACCAAAAATCCTCTTACACCTGTTGAACTGCTCCACATTAGAAGATGTTACCATGGTGATGGCATGGTTGTCCATGACACCATTGTCCATACCCAGCCCATAACACACTGCAATACAAACCACAAAGAAAACCCAACAACAGATTTTAACAAATTTATTTTAAATACAGAAATTTACCAGAACTCCCCAACAGTGTTAACATTGACAAGTAAAGGATGATCAATAACCTTCAACATAAACTGAGATATCTCCAGAATACTTTGAAATGTGTGTAAAGTGTGCAGTGTACAGTATTTTGTTAAACAATAAGGCTTTAAGATGACAGAGTGCTTGAGCTAGTGGTTTGAGAGTGGGGGGGAAATGGCAGCTTAGCAATGTTGATGAGTGAAGGATATGCCGTTGTGAGGCATCGCCTCTGAGGTTGTGATATTGTCACAATTAGACATGCATGTGTTAAATAAAGTTAAAATAATAACATACACTGGTTAAACTACAGTCTGCATATAAAACTGCTGAAAAAAATTTGGGGTCCTCCCTCAAGATATTAGGCCATTTATACCCCTTTCAGACATGAGGTCCTGATAATGTCTGTAGGCTGTTTGTGTGGAATAGATGGGTGGAAAATGACCAGAAGACTATTTGGACATTACCCTGCCTGTCCTCCCCATCTCCACGATGACGTGCAAAACTGCATTTCCACTGCTCCTTTTTAAAAAGTTTTGCAATACATCAAACCAGAATATTTCCACATTCAGTCTCTCGTGCCTTTGTGCTCTCACCTTACACTGCTGCTGTGTGTCTGTGCAGGGCTTAGCTACACACACAAGGTGCAGAGCAGAACAGACAGGATTTTGTGTACGTTTTGGCAGCATGACACAAAGTCCTTCCTGCAGCATTGTAAGGAATTGTGGCCGTGTTTATTTGTGTTTTAGAACAGAACTGACCAGAAACAATGTTTTATCTCTCTGATTCACTGCGTTATTCTTGCTAATGCCACTCTTCACTCACACTACCATTGTGCACTCTCTCAGCAGAGTGTATTTAGGAAAGGCAGTGGAAAGAAAAGCTGAGCCCCCCCCCCCACCTTGACGTGCACTACAAGTACAAAGTGAATACCGAACAGAAGTTAACTTTAAACTCCGACAGCATCGTAACTTGAGATTATGCACAACTGGAATCTGTTTCATAAACCAAGATTACTGATGGATCCAGTAAATCTGCTAAGTAAAATCCAGAGGAAAAAATAAAGCAGACATTATTGAAGTTACCTTACACCTGGTTAAGAAGATAGCAGATATAACAGCAGTAAGAAACTGCAGAAACCAGTTGGTTCACTTTGCATCATAATTGGAATGCAATGTATCAGAACATGCGGCTCAAATTATTAATCACCTGTACCCAGGCACCATGTCATGCACATGGAGAACACAAAACATTACTCATAACATTTCCTGAGCCACTTCTAGGGAAACTGTTTTTCTACTGACTTCTTGAAAACTACTGTATATATAACCTAGAATTACTGCTTTGTGGTTGTATGCACCCACCCACTGGCCAAATTCACGGGAATAGGGCAGACGTGAGGCCACTGATCTTGACCTTTGACCACAAAAATCACTTCATCCGTGAGTCCAAGTGTACAAAATGCTCTCAATATACACTATAATAATAATATACACATCACATTCACAAGAATAGGATAGACAGACAATACAAAAACATAATGCCTCTGGCTGCAGCTATCAACACGGAAATGTACTCGCACGCAAATCACCCACAAAGACACACAGGCCCCTACCTTTGGGACAGTCTCCTTCACACTTTTCACATTTCTGCATCTCGCTTCCATCAGGGTTAGTACTGATAACTTCCTGGTTGGCTTTGGGACAAACCAAAGTGCAGGCCATTTCCATAGCCAGGTAGTTATCTAAAGAGAGAGACACTGTGTTCAAAGGGAAAGTTTGCAGCAGGAAAATAAAAACACATCAGCTATGATGAAATTGGAAGCTGGTA